GGTTCTGATTATTTTTAAAAGATATAGTCCTTTATAAAAGTAAAGTGTGTTGCTCTTTCAAGAGTCCTGCATTGAACAATAAAAGTTGACTTATGCTCTGTGATAGCATCATAAAGGTACATCACTGAAGCAGAATATTATAAATTAACCTTATCACCAAGACCTTTTGTGCATTTCTACTTTTCTTGATTGACAATATGAACTACTTCTTATTTCACATAATCATAGAAAAGGAACTCTAGAAAATAAACATACTTGTTCTTTTTTTTCCTCAGAGAGAGAGGGAGAGAGAGAGAAAAACATCAATGACAGTCACTGAATGGCTGCCTCCTGCATACCACCTACTGGGGATAGAGTCTGAAAGCCAGGCGTGTGCCCTGACCTGAATCCAACTGTGACCTCCTGAGTCATATGTCAATGCTCAACCACTGAGCCATGCTGGCAGGGCAACATGCTTGTTCTTAATGTGTCCCTTGAACTATAGACGTTTAAAAAGAGAAGAAAGAGAGAGAGAAGGGAGAGAGAAGGGAAGGACAGAGGGAGGAAGAGAGGGAGGAAGAAAGGAAGGAATTAGAATTAACAGTCAAATGCTGGGATGGTCTCTAAGCAGCAGCTTTATTTCTACCCTAACACAACAGTAGGATTTCTGGCATTGGTTGTATGGAATGAGGATGATTTTACAAAGAGCATATTCTCTTTCATCAGAATGTCTGGGGGTTTGAATTTCAAACCCCTTACATCTTTGTCAGATGTAAGGCCTTGGACAACTTAATGTTTCTCTATTTCAGTTTCCATATCTGAAAAATGCGTTAACAATGGTACCTATCTCACCAGAACCACTGTGAGAATTAAATAAGATAATACATGTAAAGAATTAGAAGAAGACCTGGTACATTGTAAATACTCAGTAAATTTTTTTTTCACTTTTCTTATCATCATTATGTTCCTTAAAGCCCTCATATATGGTCACCTAACACACTGAAAGTCATGATTTTTTTTTTTCATTTTATGATCCTGTAACCTTTTTCCTTCTAGTTTCATCCACATTCCTTTACTTCAAGAATTTTGTTCTTCCATTTTAACTTGATAGGATGATTTTCATACTCATAAGTAATTAAGAACTTGGGCTAGGAATCTCAGCAAAAAAAAAAAAAAATGTCCTTCCAGTAAAGTGTACTAATATTTACTGAACATCTAAGAGCAGGTTATAAGAAAACATTTTTAAAATATAGAAATAAAGTTTTCAGAAATAAAGTCTACCTATTAACCAAATTCAATATCTATATTTAAGTACTTCCATATTAATAGAATTAGTTAATAAAAAAAGTACAACACCAATTTACTTTTTTTTTTTTTAAATATATCTTTATTGATTTCAGAGAGAGGAAAGGAGGGGAAGAGAGAGAGAAAGAAACATCAATGATGAGAGAGCCATTGATCGAGCCCGCAGCCCGGGCATGTGCCCTGACCGGGAATCTAACCCTGATCGCCTGGATCCTAGGGCAACGCTCAACCGCTGAGCCACGCCCGGCCAGGCCAAATCACTTTTCTAAAATCAAAACATTAGTTCTGCACTGGCAGGTATGGCTTGGTTGGTTGGGGGTAGTCCCATGCACCGAGGAATCACTGGCTCCATTCCTAGTCAGGGCGCATGCCCAGGGTTGCGGGCTCGACTCCCAGCAGTAGGCGTGCAGGACGCAGCCCATTGAAGTTTCTGTCTCCCTCTCCCTTCCTCTGTAAAATCAATAAAAAACATATATATATATATATATATATATATATTTT